AAAGCTTAAGTAATTCAGGCCATTTAGCTTTGTAAGATTTTATCTAGCTGGTATTTGTACACTGCCCATTTTTTTATAGGTTCTTTTTTTTTTAAATCCCACTTTAAAAATTATCTAGAGGTTTGACACCACATCTTAAAGCCATATATAAATAAACAAAAAAAATTCTTTCTTCTCTAAACTACAGCACAAATTGGCTTTATTTTATGATTTGTTTTGGGACTTCTAAATCTATGTTCAGAAATCATGACTTAGTGGCTTTGTTTCATGGCTGTTAAGTAACCAAATGTTCTGCTCTATCCACGGCCACTGTTTTGAGTCACTCAGATTTACCTTTAATTTTTTTGTTTTAGTGCAGTAAAATAGATGATGATTTTAAAACATTTCAGAGTGGCATATTAGCCACTGCATAAAACTTTAACCTGCCAGATGGTGGCACTATAACCAGCACCTTTACATGTAAAGTGACTCTAAAGTAAATGTACCCACCTCTGGGTTTTTGATTTGAGGGTTCATTAATCTGGATGTGTGATGTGTTTTACATAATAGTGTTGTGGGCTACTTTGCGATTGTATTATTGCATTTGTGCATATTTATTCCTTGTAAATTTTAGCTAATGGGCTGGTCTGTGCTGGGCTGTAATCATCTCTGATATTGCAAAAGATGGTTTTGTTGACTGTCGGTGCAATAGTTTGTGTAGTGAAGTATAAATGAGGCACAAGTTCATGTAGAAGTAACTAAGGAAGGAAGAAAAAGAAATTTTACGGTCACATTATACAGATCCAGTTTTCATGCTCCTATTTGAGAGCGTTCAATTTAACATTTTCTGTGGTTTCATCCAGTAGAGCATTTTCTTTTCCATTCCAGTACTTTCATAATTGTAACATACTCCGCTCCACCTGAGGTCGTCTGTGTCAACGTATAACAAATGATGGTTGTGAGAAATGAAGCGCCATTGAAATCTTATGCCCCGTTTTGTCAAACCTCTTTGTCAGTGGACTACTCTTGAATCATTTTTTCATATCTGTCACACATTTCTCTTTTTGTGAGACTGTTTGACTTGCATTCCTCTCACTTTCGACTCCTGTCCTTGGTTCTATCCTCAGCACAGCCTCCAGAGAGGCCTCACTCCAAAGGCCATCAGGCACTTTTAAAAGCCCATAAAGCAAGCAGAGTAAAATGATGTCCTTTTTTCATTCTGTTATACATGACTCACATTGTGTTGTGCTTGTTTTGTAGTTTGATGTAAAGTAAACGAAGAGCCTGCTAGTTGGCCAGAGACTGAGTGTTGTGCCTTTATCCCTCTAATCTACTGTGTAACAGTTTGAGTTCCCTCAGCATGTCTTTTCACTGCCCTGAGGCTCTCACTCAGCACATGGGCTGTTACTCTTATCAGTACCTCTCTCCCCCTTCGCCCCACTCTGCCCCCCCTCCTCCACCCCTTCGCCCCTCTCTCCCTGTTATCACTAGCCGTATGCCATTTAATCCAAGCTGACACGCTCTGCAACTCACCACAAACTCTTCTGATGACGCGCATTTGCATGACATATACACACACACAAACCTGTCCACAGGCACTGCTGCTGAACATTGTTACTACAGATATTTTTTATTTAAGGTCATGCAAAGTGCAACTTCATGCCTAGAAAGTTTTTTTTTTTTTTTAATATTTTAAAAAAATATATTTTTATCATCAAATATTGCACATGCACTTCCAGTACTTTCAGGTTGTCTGTTTTAGTCGCCCCCTTCTGCTGGTTTTGTGTCTTTTCAAGTGTCCTAACAGTCATTTGGCCTCTGATGTCATCCTGTGATTTACTTTGCCTTTCAGGTGACTCTTGTGGCCACTATGTGCTCACCAGGTAATGCATCTGTCTTCACAGATACACCAAACACACAGAAGGTCCTGTTCCCTCTTTGTGTGCGTGTGCGTGCGTGTGGATGGTTGTATGCATGTACATGTGCCAGTGTTGTGTTCAAGTCTGAGTTGAGTCCCTGTTACCTGAGTCAGAGTCAGCAATGTCTACATTAAACACAACTGACACAGCTCTCACCATTTTTTATTCCAAACTTTCTAACAGTGTATTGCAGAGGTCAGGCTGGACTCATAAAAATCCCATCATAATTTATTATTACCCCTCAATTTATTTTTCATTTTTTAATTCTAAGCTATATTTAATAGCGTTGTTCATTCATTTTCATTTTATATTTTTAAATAATTAATATACTGAACAAGCTAATGTGCAGCCACTTTTAATATCAATGCCACATAAAGCAAATTACTTTTTTTTTTTTTTTTTTGAAAATGAACAGCAAAGGCCACTAAAAGTACTGTGGTCAGTGTGCGTAAACAAGCAAATATGAATAACTCATTTACAAGAAACTAGACTAACTGAATTGAACTCAGCTGACCTTCTGTAGCCTGCTGCAGAGGTGACTCACTGGGTTTCTCATGGCCCTTAAAATTTTGATCTGAAAGCTGAACCTGAGCTCTGCTACTGCACTGGAGACTGGACTTGTCAGCTCCACTTCAGCCAAAGTTTTGATGGTGGGAAACATTTCTCTCTGGAAGTGATTAGAGGTTCCTCTCAACATGAGACTTCCCGATTCTGACGCACTCACTTCACCAGGAGGAATCTGCTGCATGCACTCATTCTGCACCCCTCTGTGGTCCATAGGGGTCACAGACCCACTCCATTGGCTCCAGTTTGTGGCTTTTCAGTGGGCTGTCAGCTCCCAGATAGCGAGGTGCATTGAGTAGGTCTCTCTTATGTCAAATTATTATAGCCTAAAAAGTCTGAATGCAGTCAGCGCTCAAGTTCGAGTCATCATTGCTCGAGTCCTGGACTCGAATACTACAACACTGACATGTGCAAATGTGCATGTACAGTATCCTTACTTTTCCTATTCTGCCAAAATGATCAATGGTGTTGAGATTCTTCCATCAATTATGGAAAATATTCGGTTAATGGAACCTTGTATACCATATTGCTCGGTAATTTGATGCATAAAAATCATTTATAGAAAGGTGGAGTGTGCGCTTGATGGAAGTGGATACTGTGGACATAGCATGGTGCGAATGAGCAGGTTTTAATATCACTATCTTATGCCAAATTATTATAGCCTAAAAAGTCTGAATGCAGTCAGCGCTCAAGTTCGAGTCATCATTGCTCGAGTCCTGGACTCGAATACTACAACACTGACATGTGCACATGTGCATGTACAGTATCCTTACTTTTCCTCATCATTTGTGTTCAAGTGGCCATTTTACAGTTTTCTCTTTCAGTCAACAGTTTGTGTTAAATGGTCTTTCAATGTACAAATAAATGTTATTTTACAGTGTGAAAATATAGCGGTTTGCATCAGTACCATAAAATTGCTGGCACAAAATAAATTGGAACTGTGCAGTAGAAGCCATAACAGGGTAATTAATCCTTGGATGTTGCTTTTTCACCTTGGAGCAAATCTTTGAAAGTGTTTCTGCTGCAAAGAGGCAGGGTCGTTGTAAAAAGAGCTGTTTGGTTGTTTTTGGTGTTGATACAACTGCACTTAAGAGTAAGGGTTTGTTGTGAGTATATGAAATTCAGGGTGTCCAGGACAAGTGCTGGCTACAGATTGTGTACGAAGTGAATCTAAACTGAGGGTATCTGATCAGCCTTGGCTTGTAACTATTCATCTTTCTGTCTTGAGGAAGACATTTGGGAGAGTGTCTGTCTGATTCATTGAGAAGACCCGACAGTGTTTTTCTGGTAAAAGTGCTGTTGCCTGAAGCTCATCGAACTTTTGTTGGGTTTCAACCTTTCTTGCTGTTTTTCAGCCCTTTTGTATATTCTTTACTGTCTATCTGCATATATGTTCAATACGGAAGGGAGACCAATTAAAGGAACAACAAGTGAGGGGATCCTGTGGCTCTGTTACACTGTGGGAGGCATTTTACTGACATGGTTTGGGTCCTCTTGTCCCCTTAGAGATGAGGATCCCTGCAAATCAGTATGGAGTTGTTGTTGTTTACCTTTTTTAAATTTTTTTTTTAATGGTGAATCATTTCTATCCTGATGGGAGTGTCAAGACAATGTCCCCATCCATAGGGCATGATTGGGTCACTGATTGGTTTGGGTATGAAGATGATGTGAATCATATGCTATGGCCTTCACAGTCACCAGATCTCAACTCAGGTGAGCACCTATGGGAGATTTTGGACCGACGTGTTAGCATCACCACCCCCATCAAAGCACCAAATGAGGGACTATCTTTTGGAAGAACAGTGTAAATTCCTGCAGTAGAGTTCAGAGACTTGTAGAGTCAATGTCAAGCTGCTCTGGTGGCCCAACACCTTACTAAGACACTTCATGTTGGTTTGTCACCCATATGTATGTATGTATGTATGTATATTGTGAAGAAAACTGATTGCGCATATGAGGTTGCATATTTCTATATGTGAATTGTGGGTAATCACTCTAGAACTTCTCCTCAGGTGTCACTTACACAGCTGCAACAAAGAAATCCAGGCTCATTTCAGTGTGTAGGTTGCAGCTTTCCACAGTGTGACACAGCTGATCCATCTGTGAGCTACCAGCTATCAGCACCAGATCATCCTCCATCGCCATCAGTGGGGCGCTGCCCAGCGCTCACCACTGTATGTGTGGTTTTCTCATATCGTGCCACATCATGCTACTACCCTCATACCGCTCATCCTAACCTGACCTGTTTCCTGCAGAGAGTGTGTTTTTGGAGAAGGAGGGGTTGGACAAGCAGGGTGGGGTGGGATGGTTCCTCTTCCTTCTCTCGCTTCTCCACCTTGTTTTCTACCTGTGTGTCAATATAATGTTCACCTGGTCCTGTTGGAATCTTTCTCATTTCCTTGCCATTGTTTTCTGTCCGCTTGGCTGCTCTCCTCTGCCCCCACCTCTCCCTGCCCTCTTCTTTTCTGTCTCTCCATCTCTCTGCTTCTCACTGTTGCGATTAACTGGGCTCTGTCTTTATGTCGTATGTCCTTTTAGGCCCACGCCGTGCATCGCTGGCTAATCGATCAGGACAGTAGTGTGAGCTCTGAGATGCCGGATGGCCAAGGAGTATGGCACTATGATGATGAAGTAAATATCTGCAACACGTATATCTGGCTTTTCCTATTTATATATATATTATATATGTGTGTGTGGGTGTGTGTGTGTATATTTATATTCTGTATTTTTGACCATTTTGTATCTGTCACTTAAAGTCTGTGTCACTATTGTTGCTCTGCTGCTGTTGTTGTTTTTATCTTTACCTCTCTTGTTTTTGTTGTGTGTTGCTTATGGTATTGAAGTTCTGGGTTGTTTTTTTTTGACTTTCTAGTGTTGTTGTTGCTGTTGTGCTGTGATCTGATTCAGTCAGGTGTCGTGGGATCAGGCTGGAGCTTTTTCTTTGTTCATGTCCTTTTATTTCTTAATTTGTTTTTTTGTTTTGTGTTCTTTCTTTTCGTTTCATATATGTGTGTGTGTGTGTGTGTGTGTGTGTATATATATGAGTGTCTATCGTAACATCTATATCAGTGTTTGTGATTTCTCTGAAATTAATGTCCACAAGCAGTATATCTCATGGCAAGAGTCCACAGGCAAAATATATTGATATATTTTCCATAGACTCTATACAGGTTTTAAGTACACCTGAGTTTCCTGCTAAGTAGGCTACATCACACTACACAGGTTTACAGTACTGATAAGAGAAAACAGTCCAAGTATTTTTCCTGTGGGTTCTTCTGATTTATAAAATATGCTTGTCATTTGTACCATTGTGTTTGTGTTCAGGATTAAATCACAGTGTATGTGTGTGAGAGAATGAGAAACAGAAAAGGTGTGTGAGGGATATGTGTGTGTTGACATCTTTACTCATATCGATGTGTTTGTGTGCATGCTTTGTTTCCATCCTTGCATGGCTTCGGTCTGCATATTAGTGTAAAATCTGATTTGAACGTCCGTCTGTATTGTGTCTGTCCTTCAGTCTGTGGAGTGCCGTGGATGGAGTGGTTGTGCCTGTTTTTGCCTACACCTTTGTCAGTGTTGTGTATTGTGGCCGTTGTGTATTTCCCATGGCTATGTCATGTGCTGTGCCTGTATTTTGTCTGGTTTTATCTATTTAAACAGTCTGGGATACATTTGCCAAAGGTTTTATTGTACCTATCTAACAGATGATCTTGAATCCATTCTCACTGGGTGGAGGAAAGATCATCTACGTGCAATAAGGCTGCTGGGAAACTTGTTCCAGACGCCTCTTGCCATTGGCGATTTTCTCCTCAAATCCTAGCTCCCTCTTTGCTCTTATGTCAGACTCTTAAACCTACTCTCCTGACCTCCAGACACTCTGGAGCATCATTGGGCCAACCCTTACTGATCCTCAGTTAGACCATTTTCAGCTGCAAAGTAAGCTATTTTGAAGTGCAGAGATATAGGAACAAATAGATAAAAACAATATTGGGTGAACATATTAGGTGAACATATTAATCACAGTATGAAGGTAGCACATAGAAGGCAAGTGGTTAAGTGCCGTTTGTAAGCTACAGTATCATCAGTAACAGATCTCCCTGGCCACTGGCCCAACACAAAACAGCAAGTAGTGCTGATTATCCCTCATTTATGACTGTGTGTGGATTGGGGAGTTGCTTTCTTTCCCTGTTGTGGTTGGAATTTTATTTTTTTTTATCTGAATGAGTGAAAGATGATTTTACTTCTTTACATATCTGTCGGTGCTGTACACTGTTATAACTATAGATCCAGGCTGGTTGAAACTAGATCCTGGGTTTTCAAAAAAATACCACTGTGGTAAAATCAGCAGATAGTTTATCAAACATCACAGTCAGCAAATGACTAGAGTGTATAGTGTGGTCGTCCTTTGCCATTTTGTAAAGGAAATATTGCTGTTTGAGCTCTGGGCGCAGACACAGAGAAAAAACTTGGTGCAGTGACAGATTGTCCACCTCGCTGGCCTGTAGCCAACACAGCAGTGGAAAACAGCAGTAGCATAAACCAAATCCCTGCAACAGGGTGTCTGCTTCACTAACCGGTGTTTACTAGAGAGTGATACAGTATCCCCGTCTGCCCTCAGTTCTCAGTTTCTTCTTTTGCAGCACCAATCCTACAGCTCAAAAACAAAACAAAACAAAAAACTAAAAAATGAATTGGAATAACTGTATTCACCAAAGTCATTAATGAGACTTGGGAATGTTATGAAATCACAAAAGGGGTACATGTAGGCCACAAACATGAGAGGTCGACGAGACAATAATACAGGTTGTAAATAAACAGTTGGGATATAAACTGCTTGGATGCACAGTCAGAGCTGAATACAGCACCATCATTCAAGCCTTTCAGTTTTCAGTTTTTCTGAGCGACCAAATAAAGTGCGGTTGAGCAAACCTGCTGAGTTCTCAGCAATTAATGATGAAAATATAGCTGCTAGAACTGTACAAAAAAAACAACTAAATTGTAAACCATAAATACTTTCAGAATGAGTCCAAAAGGATTTAGTATCGTGCATATTTGTCAGTCTAACAGCTCGGTGATGTAAAACTCTCGTCAACCCTTAACTTGTATGCACAAACCATTACTCTTTTCCTGAGGGTTGATTTAATTTACACAAGAATCTAGGGCTTCATCAGACGCCCCCTCCTGTAACACAAAAGTGTGAGATGTCAGAGGTCTGTGTAAAGGCCCTGTCCCTTTTGCCACCATTAAGTGGGGCTGGAGTATATCCCTTATTATCCCACAGCTCTAATTGCCCCTGAGTGAGTCCTTGGAGACAGATGCTCAGGGAGACAAGCCTCATTCGTCACAGTACGGCTGTATGGCACACTCAATATGAAGAAGAAAAAAAAAAACGGTCACACTCTGCACTGTCACATAAATTCTCCCTCGTCTCAGTTTCCCTGTTCCAGCTGCTCCCCAGCCCGCTGTAGATGAAGACTACATTAGAACGCCCATTCATGTCCAGCCACCAGCAGTTGGCTGTAATTTGTTTCGGCTAGGGGAGCAGAGTTGCATTTACATGTGAAAGGCCATGGCGTATGGAAATATTGTAACTCTCTTTTTGTCCCAGGGTCACTGATACCAGCTACACACAATTCTAATTAAAAGAAGAGGGAGGCCTATACTACCATTGTGCAGAACTGCAAAAGTCATGTATTAATGGCTTAGCTGGCCAGGTACCAAGTTTAGGAAGAAGATAGGAGAGCAGGATTCTCCTTCTCTTGCTGACCCATTAGAAACTGATCTTTTCTGGCTTTTTGTAACAGTGAGACACCTCAGGGGAACAGTCTGACCTTCCAAGAATACTTTCAATGGAGCCATCCCAAGTAAATATGAACCTAAACCTATACGTAAACAACTTCAGATCACACCTTCTGTGCAGCACAGTTCACTACACAGGGTTGAAACATAATTTTCAACCTTGAGGAAAAAAAGACAACATTGGAGGTCAACACTGAATGCAGTTATGCCATGCCCTGCGAAATACACACTCACCAGCCACTTTATTAGGTACACTTCAAGGACTGAATGTTCACTTGTTGCTTAATATCCCCACTCACTGACAGGTGCCATTGTAATGAGATAGTCAAGAATGTACGATGTGAAGATGCAGTGAGCTCTCCAGTCAGTGTGTAGCTGCTAACACAGGAAGATTTAATAGTCATGTCCAGACTTTCACAGTCAGATTATATCTTTCTGCTTGTTTTTCCTCTGTGACTCTTCTTATACTTCATCTTACTCACCAATTAACTGCACATTTCTAATTAATGTATGTAATTCAGCATTATTTTTCTTCAAGTGATTTGTGACGTCTATTCCTTTAGCCACATTTCGAACTGTAAAGTCAAGTTACAGTTTGACAGGTTTATTTTGATTGACACAAAGAGAGAGAGAAACAATCATTGTGCATGCATGCATGTGTTCTAGGTGAATGCGCAGAATGCATGATGAAGATGGGAGTGTCCTCCAAAAAAGTGCTGTTCGGAAAGTCTGAAAGCTGTAGAAAGCTGCTTAGCGATGGACATGCCCAGTGCTCAGTGTTTCATAGATGCTCTCTCTGTCTGCTAAACCTTCACAGCTTGTGTTCAACACAGAAGAGGAAAACCAAATAACTATTCCTTATAACTCTGTTATTGTGTCATTTTTATATGTTTAAATGTAATTAATTTGACTGGAAATGGATAACCAGTCATGTTACAGGTTTCCATTGGTGTATTATTGGCTCTCCAGAAGAACCTACAGTACCTACAATAGTGTGAACTCTGATTTTAATTTGTAATTTTAAAGGTCGTAACCTGTTTTCATTTGTGTTTTTAAGAAACCCCTCGAGCATTTATGGACCTTTTGATATGGCATAATGTTATCAAAAGATCTGCTCCTGTCCATGGGTACGATGTGGTGTGGCACAAAAAATCCAATTCAGTCACCAAAGTGGATGGTTAATAATAAAAGGCCTTTAATAAATCTGGGCTAAGACTTTATAAAATACATTGGTGCATATCGGCACACTTGCCATCCTCAGGCTGTCTGAATGATTGAATTATTTTTCATATGACACAATAGTATTTAACTTTCATGAAGCCTTCCACCAATAAACCTCAACCCCAAGGTGTATGTCAGTTAACACAGATGGTTGACTATTAATGTACAGTAATTGTTACGTCTTATAATGACATTTACAGTAGTGCAGCCCTCCCCTATAAGGAGTTAAGAGATGAGACAGTTTTACAAAGTTATGAAAACGGCACATTCAAACCAAATCAGATTGGTATTGGAGTGATTCAGAGTGTGTCAGATGTTACAAGACAAAGACAAAGTCATCAGTTTGCACTATGAACAGTGTATGATGAGAATTGTAAGCCCTGGGCTTGAACCCTTGTGCAAGAACCCACCCAAAACATCACATCATGTTTATACGGAGTTGTGTTACCTCTACTCTTTCACTGTCTACTGTGCCTCCAGTTTATAACTTGTCCACTTTGATAACCAGCTTCTCACCTAACCTACAGGTGTTGTAAAAAAACAACTTCCCACATGGTTGAACAACAGTGCCTTGCATGACCTTGTTCAGTTTGAGTAGACCGCTGCCTGAA